ATTCATATGATTTCGACTTAATAAAGTAGTATAAATGATTTCTTAAGTGACAAGATATTTAACATGCTATTAGTATTCCAAAGAGTCATGATGAATACATAGAAGGTGCTTAATAATACTTTTAAATTACATGTAAAAAAGAAATCTCGTTTGTCTGATAATACGTACATCAACGAAAATGTGTCAATTCTAACTACCAGATAGTATTATTAAGTGATCTGCAGTTTAAAATTACCTATTAAAAAATGGTATGAATATTTTCGATTATTCAAATATGTTTGTTGCAAAATAATCACCAAATTGATTAATAATACAATAACGGATGGTACAAGAAATAACAGTCATACTTCCACAAAAATAGATGAGACAAAAAAAATTACATATAATAGAGTAAATGATATAAATAGAGAGGATATAAGTAGGAATATAGACTTTGGATACGGTGTAAGTAGATGAAGAGAAGGTACATTCACACCCTTCTTTATAAGCATGCTAAGTTAATGAGATCATTTTGATAGGATGACATTATTATTATTTAATTTTGTTCTATCGATCAATTAGCTTTTGACATAAATGCATTATCTGCTACAAATGTACCATCTACTATTCATTATCGCTTACTCTCTATCACCTGTTTTATACTAGAATGTGGATATACTAATCTCTCTCTACCCATCCACACTCACATTCATAACTTCAGCACGATATATATACACTAACACTGAGCACAAGCGCAGACTTATGAGAAATTCTTAATTTACAAATTTTCAGAAGTTTTATTGAACAAGTTTTGAATTTTATTTTGACCTCATTTTACGTAAGACAGTAACGATCTTTTTGGAAACATCTATACTTTTATGTTTCTACAAAATTCTTTTAGTCAAACTTCAATTACTCATTAATTCTTGTTCAGTGATTGCAACGGATGGAACACAGAAGATGAGTTTAAATGTTCAATTCCTAAAGCGTACTATTTATTTCAAAGTTCTTAAGACTTTCGTTAATTAATTTGATGTTTGTATGAAGCTTGAAAAGAATAAGTTTCATATGGAAACGGAATTTTTTTCTGCTATTTGATGTAAGTAGTACATGCAATGAGAATAATGAGTCAATGAAAAGTTTTTGACATTCAATCAAAACAGAGACAAAAGTCATACAAACAGGAAGAAGAGACGAGTCCAGAAGACGTACAATCAATAAAAAAGTCAGTCTATAGAAATTGATTGATTTAAAATTTCAACTTATTTGGATCAAAAATTGATGAAATAAACATTCTAATACTATTTTACAGCTGACTAGAAATGCATCTTTGTGAAAGATAAGACTGCACCAAGTTGTCTTTTGTTTTTTTGACAAAATAAAATTGAACTAATAGTTTAGTAAGATGATATGCACTGAGAATATTTCAAAAATGCTGACGTTGATATTGATCAGTTAAATATACTATATTGCAGTCTATTCAATTTAAATATGAATGAAAAACTACTTTATACGACAAGAACATTGTATATTTCTCCTAGTTGAGAGACATATGTCAGATGCAGCTAAGTAATTGATCAATAACCCGAAGTTGAAATAAATGCACGAAGTAGATTGTTAATAACTAGTGCTGATCACATTGTTAAAATTTAGAGAAATCAGTGATGAATACTGATTCAGAAAAATAACGTTTATGACAATAACAAGATTGCAGAAGTAGTTAGATCAGTATAGCTCTTAAAATACTCTTGAACGACAATAAAATCTTTAATTAATCTATTATATTTAGACATCAATCGATGCGAGTATAGTAAAACATATTGTTAGCTACTAAAACTATATAGATGCATACATTCTTCTGCTATCCAAACATTCCTGAACACACATTTTTGTTTTATTGTAAAAAAAAGAAACTTCATTAATATCTACTGGACAATCCAAATCAATTGGTACCGAGATAATGAATATTAAGTAGTGCCAGTATCTATCTATAAGTAATTACAAAACATTAAAGAGCCATTGAATAATTTATATTTATTGTTGATTTTATAATTTTATTTATTTTTATTAATATTTCATTTGAAGCTTAATGTAATGACTGTAATCAAAGTCTAGTCAAAAAATTTCTTCAAAATTTAATCATTTGTATAAAATCAAATACATATATTGTTTATTATCTATCTACAAACATAAGAGTATAACAAATATGATATGTACGTATTATCAGTAATATCTGAACTTCTCCTAATGATGATTCATCACCTTCCATATACTTTAAATTTAAATAATAGTTTCAATATCTTCTTATAAATATGACTACATGATTGGACATATAATGTGCCATTCGTGCTTGACTTTTCAAAAAAATATTTCAGTCTAATTGAAACTATTTTTATCACTGTATATCTCGTTGATATTAATAAACTTCAACATAAATTTTTCAAAACTACATTGAAATATTCATATTATTTTTTAGACATTTACAAAAAAAAAAAGTAACAACAACAATACATAGATTAATTGAATAAAACAAAAAAGCTATTTTAATGATTACCAAAAGTTCGGATCATCAATAATTCCAAGTTTATTTCCTAATCTTCGAAATTTAGCTCGTACTTCTTCTTGCATTAAATTAAAACACATTGCCATTAATGATAAACCAAATAAAACATAGAGAGCACATATAATAAGTTTACCTTCAACTTGTGTTGATGTTATTGATTTTCCAGGTACAAGATCACCTAAAAATAAACATTTTTTTATTTATCATTCATCTATTTTTTCTTTTTTTTAAATGAAAGAAATTTAACCTAAACCAATTGTTGCAAGTGTAACAAAACAAAAATAAGCACCATCTAAAAGTTTCCAATTTTCCCATTCACTAAAAAGTACAGCTCCAAGTATTAAATATGATGATAATAATGAAAGTGTAACACTAATTGGTATTGTTGTTTTACGATAATCAATAGTAAAATTATCAACAAATTCAACAACACTTGGTGATGACTTTACTTCAGTATTATCTGATGATACGACTGGAAGATTATTTACTGCTAGTGTTCTCGTTGTCGGAGATGATGGAAGTGATGATGTTGCATTATGTGATAATTCAACAGATTGTAATGCGCGAAGATTACGACGTTTTTTTATCATATTACAATATGAACAACAAACATTACAGTAAATAAAACGAAATGCATCAGCCATTGTTGAACCAATATTTGCTAAGCATAATAACATTAAGGGAATACCAAATATAGCATAGATCATTGTCATTATTTTTCCATAATTAGTTTTGCTAAAATATAAGAAATAACTTTTTAATATTCGATCTCATGTTCTTATTTAATTCGACAAGAGACTAGGAAAAAATAAAAATACATAAACTTAATATATCTTTTCAACTAACAAAATTCAAACAACACGTAACTACGAGTGACTTAGTCAAAGTCTTTGTACGATAAGTACTGATTAGGAATGTTTGTAAACAAGATTTTTTTTTGTATTTTGTCTCACGAGAGAAGTCCTGTAATTTATTAATTACTTTTGAATCAAGACTATAGACTTCATGTGGATTCTAATAACCTTTGAAAATACTGAAAAGAGTTTGGACTCTTAGCTTATTGTTGTAGATTTGATGTTCTTATTTTAGGAAAGAAGTAAATCAAAAGACTTTAAACTTTCGCAATAGACTATTCTCATTAAGATCTGTCTCTGTGCAAAGTTTCAAGTCGAAATTCAAAAATCGATTTTCCTGTGGGAGACTAGGATATTGAGTTTAAAAAAGAAACGTAAAAATACAGTATCTCAGTAGCAATAATTTAAAGACCCAAACTCTTTGCACAGAACAGTTTCGAAACTTTTCTTGTCAAACATCTCTCATTTGGTAGTGCAGAATTTTGGATATGATATTTTTGTAATTCATATCAAACAATTTTACTATTCATCTATAGAGATTTAAGCTCGACAAAATCATCACACTATTCGAATTTCATATAAAAGACAAATACAAATAAATATAGCATGAAGATCAATAGCAAAGAAATCTGTATATTTTTCTTTTGTCTAGTCGATATCATTTATCTTATTATTGATGATCTAGAACTCGATTCAATGAGAAGTCAATAACACGTTTCCATACCAAGTAATATGTCCATAACCTAAAACAACAAATAATAAAAATATGATAAACATATTTATATGAGATATATATATATATATTTACCTATTGTCGTAAAAACTGTAATTGCATAAAGAATTGCACCTGGAAAAGTCCATTGTTTGTTATCATCATCAAGACGTTCACCTTGATGACCACGTTTTGTTTGACGAACTAATTCTAATTGATATTCTTCAAGTATTTGTCTAGCCATTGTTGTCCAATTATTAATATGTAAAACTTTTGATTGTTCACTAGTCATAAATAATCTTTCAACAGTTATATTTAAACGTCGATGAACACCTTGACTAACTTCACCTTCATGTGGTCCTTCAAGAAATTGAAATACAACACCACCACCAAATGCATATGCCACAACAAGTAAACAAAGTCCAACACGTGAAAATATAAATGTTGTTACAGATTTACAACAACTTTTACATCTTTCCATACGTTCCGAACGAATACTCCTAACTGTTGGATGTTGTTGACCACTTTGTTGTTGCTGCTGTTGAAGCAGCTCATCTCGTCGTTGTTTCCTGACCAAATTAAAATAGAACATTGTATATTAAAATTAATTTTATTAGAATAATATAACTAATAAGTTGTTTAGTCAAATTCTTTAAATCGTACGTGATCACGATAATAGAAAAAAAAAATCTTTGTATTTGATATCTTTATTTGACAAAAGAAAAAAAATGGTAATGTTTTATGCTTACACATCACTTGATCATATGCATATAAACACACACACACACACACACACACGTATGTCATCAAATTAATAGATATATTAGATCGAATGCATTATATTATTAGATATTTAACATATGTTTTATAATGATAGATCACATAATGTATGAATTCATCTATTACAAAGAATCAATCGCTTTTTTTTTATCAACGGATACTTACAAAATATGTCCATTTGCCTTGAGCGTAATGACATTGTTATAGACACTAGTATTGCTATATAAGCGATTTCTATGACGTTTTAATGACAATAATCTATGATGATGTTTTGTTTTTGTATCGAACAACATAATGTGTTTCTCTTTCTTTTTTTTTTTATATTTAAAGTTATACACTTGTATATCTACTGATGATTTACAATGACGTAGTAAAACATTAACATGCTCTAGTTACGTGAATAAATAGATTTTCTAATTATAAGATAATTTCCATTTGTTTGATTACTTAACATATACTATCAAAAATCTCTCTATTCCGGATATTAATTGCAAGCAAATTGACTAGAAGAAATAAACATCAGATATTGAAGAAAAGAAGAGAAAAGAAAAAATAACAAAAAATATGTTTGACCCTGGATAGATCATCAACATCAAAGAAAATACTTTCTTTATATCCTCAAGTTATTTTTGTTGTATTTTCATTTGACAAATAGGTTATTATTGATAAATATTATCATCAATTAATGACAATATATATCTACGTTTATTTGTTGTTTTATCATCTTCGATCGTTGTTAAACTGTTTTTCTTCTCAATTTCAATAGATGTAGTAATTGTAATGTACTTGTTTCTTTATTGGGACTGGAGAAATATGCATAATTATATATACATATATTCTGTTTCTTTCTTTTTTCTTGGTATTCATGAGCTGTTTGTTGTGATGTCACTACACTTAATTGAATGACATGTATAAAAAACAAAATCATTAGTTTACTCATGAGAATGTGCAACGATTAATTGTATTAGACACTATTATAACGCAGAAGGATCGAGAAGATCCATATGAAATTTCACATGGGATATGCAGAATGATCGAATGTTGATTGATATAATAACAAATTAAAAATATAGTTTACCGCTACTGTTAGTAATGATTTTTATTAAGCTGTCTCATGGTTTCAAAATGTATCTAAGTCATTTAGAACATGAATTTACATCAGAGAAAGATGAATATAGAAAAGATTAGTAGAGAAAAAAAATCGAAGGAAAATAACAGAAGTGTGATAGTGCTACGGACACATCCTTCAAAACCTAAAAACAACAGTCTAAGTTCATCAAATGAACTATTTAAACATTCGAAAGTAAAATCGTATCATAGAACGCGTATAACAGCAAAAATGATTTATTTTTACATGTCAATTTTCCTAATGCGACAGTTCACATATATAAAAAAAAAATTTTCAGCATTATATCACCAATAGAAAGAACGTTACAACATTAATGTGGATATAAAGAAAACATTTTGCATATCTACTTGTCCTAGGAGGAAACACTATTAATGTAGTATGGAAAAAAAAGGGAAAAAAAATAATGTATAATGTCATTCTTTGAAAATGATAAATTATTTTTCGTTATTCAATGTTCTTATTTAAAAATATTTGATTACTACGAATCTTCTGTTATTAAGAACAGTCAATTCAATGAAATACGGATAGCAATAAAAAACAATGAACGAACAACTCTTGCTAATCTGATTGTAGTGTTAGTGATGCGTATGTTCTATTGACGACAAATGAAGCATCATTATTGTTTATGGCTAATATACAATCATGATCATAATTGACAACATTCGTTTGGTTTTTTTTCGGAATGAAGAGGAATACTACGGAGATAAAGAGAAGAATGGATAACATGACTTTAGAGAAAGTAGTAAGAATCAACATTCAAGAAAACAGCACGACAACGTCGCTATTTTCCGCAATTTCATAAAGTAGTAAAATTTAATATAGTAACAGACCATTTCTGACAGTCGAAATAATCGTTCTGGAGAACATACAGATTTAAAAAGGACAGAGAACTCGAATACCACATAGATGTTCTATAGTAAATTCACCGATGTTCTGTAACATTATTGTTCTACAAGTATTGCAGCTACTTAGTAGTACTGTCATTCGAGAATGTCATGTCTTTCAACTCGCATTTCTCCTTGTGTTCAATACTTCAATCAGCAATGCTTATCGTCCGTTATGGTATAATTAAATCTTCGTCAATGATGGTCTACATAGTTTGGCATTAATCTTATTATTATCTTCTTGATTCATATTTATGACTATCGATTGCTATTTTGATTTGGAACGATGATATTACAAAGTGAAAGAGACTAGTCGCCTTTTGGTACACGCGCTAATACTCATTATACATTGTTGCTTTCCTCAAAAATCTTACTACATCTAGAATCTTTGTATTCATTCTACATCTCGAAGTCACATCATTATTATCGTTTAGATAATCCCATCAATGATTCGACTTCTACTATTGTTTTTGTTATTGATAAATGATTAGGAACAATTCCTATTTTGGAATTGTAAGATCTATTAGCCTGAGCTACTATGTAACGACGTACATGAGTAGTGGTTTACTGTCATTCTCGTCAAGGATGTTTAGTAAATTATTTCATGTCTTCAGAATATGTCTGTTTTCCATATAACAGAAGTTTATATTGAAGAGAAAAGTGGACATAGACAAGATGAATAAAGAAAGAATAATCAGAAGAACATAAAAAAGAAAACTAAAAGTTATCAAGAAGAAAGTGAGATCATTATGGATACAATTAAGAATGAAGTAAATAGAATATTTTACTAAAAATAATATTAATATGAATGATTTATTAAAAAAAAAATATTAGTCATGTTAATTATACCATTTCGAAAAATTAAAATCTATATAAAGCACTTTCATAAAGATTAATCTGCGATAAATTATATTTCTTTACAAATACACACTTTATTGTTTTTATGTAATCATGTACAAATTCTTAAGTCATATAGATTCTATTATGTAGCTTGAATCTTTGACATGGAATAAGAAATGATGTATGCTTGTAGATCAAGGTTACATTCCGAAAAATGTTATCCATTTATTTTCTCAATCGATGAATATTCAGTATTACGAAGATGACTTTCCGAATGGAAGATACAGTAATATTCTAGTTATGTATTGCATAAAAATATTCCTATATTTTAACTTAGATTCGATAAATATAATTATTCTACATAGTATTTTGTAAAAGTGATGTAATACTATTCTATCAATAAATATTCGATTTGTAAAAAAAAAAAAAATGTTATACTTTCTTCTCATTGATGTATCACTATATGAATTATCGATGAATATTTTCTGATAGGAAGCTTGAAGTGTTACAATATAGAACAATACAATTAAAAAAAGATAACTATTTTAACTGATGTCTTAGTTGACGTCATTGTTTGGTTTCAGGAATATATTTTGATCGATTAGTTATTACTTTTTTTTTTCTTTTGTCTATTTCATGTATATTAAGATAAATGAAAAGCGAACTAAAAACTATATTTGTTGGCATATAAATACATAAGAAAATCTTATTATAAAAATATTTGTTTGAATTATTGCTTACTTCACTTCGCTGTGTCGACGAATCACGTCAAATATATCATTAAAAACGCGATAATAAAGAAGAGACATTAAATGAAGATATATGATTAAATAATCAAATATATAAATATTGAGAAAATAAGGAAAAGATAATATAATATAATTACTACTCTTTCAAATCAAACCAGATGGTATTATTGTTTCTTTGAAAATATGGTTTCGATCGAATTGTTAATAATCAAAAAATTTATTCGTAGCACAAGTATTTGTGGATATATTCTGAACTTATATGTATATATGTGTGTGCGCGCCTGTGCTAGTTTGCTATGTTATCACAGTAGACAAGAACAAGAGATACCACAAGAAAAAGAAAGAAGGAGAGAGAGAGAGAGAGACAGAGATTGGCATTTGGACGACGATTGTGTGCATACTTAGTTTGTCATCATCAACGTCAATAGCATTGTTGCGAATAGACAGTTATCAATTAGCGAATGTGATTTATGCAGATTTTGAGAAAAAATAAGGAAAAGAAAGATCACATATTTTTTCCTATACGAAGAAAATATTTTTACCTCGTACATTGTAGTACAACTCGATAAAGATTATGCACAGTCTGGTAAAAGATCAACGACATGACTTTGTGTCAATGTAACTATTACTTTTCTATATAATATTATCTCTTATATATAGTATATATCGATTATGATCGGAAGAAAAATAATACCTTTGGGAAAAGAAAATTTATTTAATAAAAGTAATTGAATTTAATATTCATTTATAGTACACTTGAAAAAAAAATGAGAATGTATACTTAATTTTTATATAAGATCATACATTAACATAAGGAACAACAAGTTTTCTTTCAATCTATATCATAGTTTATAAATTTCTCCTTATTTTAATGATTAATTCGATAGTGAATAAACAAACTTCTTGGCATGAACTACTATGGGAATTTTAAAAGAAGGTACCTGGAAAAAAGCTTATAACTTTCGAACGAAAAGTCATAGCGACCTGTGGTTTCCAGCAATCGATAGAAGATTATAGGGGGCACATTTTTATATAAAAATCAAGGTTTAAATAATTGGTGATTGTGGAATCACTGAAAGAGTAGGCTCGTTATTTAGTGAAATCTCAGCAGAACAAGCTGAAACTTTCAACATATATAGCCCAACTGTACCCCAATCTTTGCTGAAAATATCATCGATAAATCTTGTAATGAGGAGGAATGGTGAGCCAATCATCATCTGGCCTTACATAAGACTCTCATTCACCCAAAATATTAGGAAATGGCCTTAACTTTTGGCTGAATAAATACCATAATCTAGACTTCATATCTATGCAATTATACCATAGTTTGATTAAATGAACGAGAAGAGACGGTGAAAATATTACTGAATTCTGTATTACTCTTAAGAAAGTTGGAAAGATTTGTTTTAAAATACTTACTGTATGAAAATCATTTCTTCGTCGAATTTTGGCTATTTCCGTACATTTTTACAATCAAAGTGCGATGCTATTGCATAGATATGAAGTCTAGATTATGATATTTATTCAGCCAAAAGTTGAGGCCATTTCCTAATATTTTGATTGAATGAGTGCCTTATGTAAGGTCAGATGATGATTGGCTCACCATTCCCCGTCATTACAAGATTTATCGATGATATTTTCAGCGAAGATTGGGGTACAGTGGGGCTATATATGTTGAAAGTTTCAGCTTGTTCTATTGAGATTTCACCAAATAACGAGCCTACTCTTTTAGTGATTCCACAATCACCGATTATTTAAACCTTGATTTTTATATAAAAATGTGCCCCCTATAATCATCTATCGATTGCTGAAAACCGCAGGTCGCTATGATTTTTCGTTCGAAAGTTATAAGCTTTTCTTCCAGGTGCCTTCTTTTAAAATTCCGATAGTAGTCAAAAAAGCACGATCGTCAACAGCTGTATACTACGAAATATGTCAACAAAAAAAAAAAAGAACGATCATCATATATTATGAACATAAACAATTGTTGTGTACGACTATAGTACACGATAGCATATGGTCGTAAGTTGAGTAACATGTATCGAACATATAGCATTTACGTTTTGAATTCAACAATGAATTCAATATTAAGTATTTATTTTAAATAAATAAATTATATTTCATATGTTTATAGATTGACGCTACAAACATATGGTCGTAAGTCTAGGATCAAGTCATACGCAGAGATAGGATTGTTTACAATTGACATAATCTTTGCTCTGGATAAACATTTTAACAATATAAAACTGTCATTAAGAATGAATATCATCATTTCACCGAATAGGAAAATATGTATAATCATGTACTGTCATTATTGTTTATTTAACACATGAAAATAAACGAAGGATATTCTTTGTATTATCATTAAGCATGTTATAGATAACTAGATTTTTATCCTTCAAAGCTGTCATTCGTTGAGATTCAACATTTATGATTAAGTGTACTATATCTTGTCCGAAGAATATCAACGAGAAGATTTTTCATGTTCTATAAATTGTAATAGATGATTTCTAGTATGTAGAAAATAATGTTTTTCATTTTATAGAAGAATAAAAAAAAAAAGCAAACAAGAATAGAATATCGAGCAAGATGTTACATCATATTCATCAGTCATTTGAAGCTATTGTTTAACCTTTATTTCAATATGCATAGGAATATATTGTTTTTTCTGAAAGTTAATTGAATAAAACAGTAAAGATATGAGACCGATAAACGCATAAGAACTGTACGGTGATGATAGTTTTTTGTGTATTATTCTGAGAACAATTACAATCAATTATCATCAAGACTACGGTCTAAGTTGCATTTCTAATTCTATGAATTAGCTTGTGTTCATAGAAAACTGGAAATATTCTATTGATTTTTTCTTATTCCGAAATAAAAACTCGTTACAATGCATGTTTTTTTTCTTATTAGAGATAAGCACTATTGAAGAATATATCTTAACAAAAATTTAATATAGTTGTTTGATCAAAAATTAAAACATTAATTAAAGGTCTTGTTAAAAAAATGAATTTATATAAAGAAGAACCATGAAGACTTTCTGGAACATTCTATAGATATTTCTATATCACCTATTCCACTATGTGATATCAAATATCACATGATGGAACACTTTTCATGAGGAAAGAATACCTATTCTCTATTTTAATAGACGAGAAGAATACGTTGCAACGAGTGACACATTTTGACAAATGATTTTTGATTGGTCACTCGTAATAATCCAATAAAATATTATTGTGACGTTGTTCATCCATTATTATTATTATTATGATATATAGAAAATTATTTATTTGATGTTATTCATCAATTTAATGTGTTATTATAGGTAAATTTTCTTTTTTTTAGCTTTTCGAACAAATTCTAATGGCATCAAGATCTGAACGTGAAAAGTCTAAAATGCAAGAAAAATATCAATTGATATTATCACAAATGCTTAAAGAAGAAGATAATAAATATTGTGTTGATTGTGATACTAAAAGTAATGAGAAAAATAAATAATTTATTAAATAAGCGTATATATATATATATATTTTCTTTCCTAGGTCCTCGATGGGCTAGTTGGAATATAGGTGTATTTATATGTATTCGTTGTGCCGGTTTTCATCGTAATTTAGGTGTACATATCTCAAAAGTTAAATCCGTTAATTTAGACTCTTGGACAGGCGAACAAATTGCTGTATGAATACAAAAAAAAAAAAACTTTTATTTATTTATTTTTTATATTTTAATAGTCAATGCAAGCTATGGGTAATAGTCGTGCACGTGCTGTATATGAAGCAAATTTACCTGATGGATTTCGACGACCACAAGCTGATTCGTATGTAAAAAACAAAACAAAAATAGTTTCTATATTTAATATTTTATTTTGTCTAGAACATTAGAATCATTTATTCGAGCTAAATATGAACAACGTAAATGGATTGCTAAAGAATGGATTCCACCTGAAATAACGGTGCCTATTGATGTCAGTGTTGTCTTGTGATTTTTTATGCATTCTTGGATTTATATTCTGTGTCTTTTTTTTTTTGAAATAAATTCTTCTTTTTTTTTCCTGTTTTAGCTCATTGAAGCAGAAACTAATCAACGACGAGTTGAAACAAAATCTGATATTGAACGAGTAAGTCTATTCTAAATATTAAATGATAATAAAAACAAAAAAATTTCTTTAGACAGAAAAAAATACTACAAAATTAAGACCATTTACAATACCACTATCAACTAGTAATCCAGTACGACAAATTATAAAACCATTATCACCTCCTTCTAAAACATCTACTATAGAAGATAATACTCACAATCTATTAAATTTAGGTATACAAAAAACTTAAAATTCTTAAATAAAATTATATTTTAATAAATCTTAGATGAACCATCATCACCTTTATCAAATAATACAACTACTTCAACAAACATTCCTTCATCGGACATTCTTGATCCATTAAATGAATTATTTACAACATCAACATCAGAAGTAATAAGCATGAATAATTCATTAGAAAATGCACATTCTTCTTCAAATAATACTCAAACAAATAATGGTACAGTTATGAGTAATGAAAAAATTATGGCTTTATTTAATACACTTCAAGTATCGACAACAACACCTTCAGGAATGAATATTCGACCATCAAATCGTATGTGTTTAAATAGAAATATTTTAATTCTAAATCAAGAAATTCTTTAATTTATTGCAAAATAATATATTATCGTTTAACCTAATAACGTAACTATTTTCATTAACATCTACGTGTATGTATACAAAGTTTCAAGTTGAAATTCGAAAATCAGTTTTCCTACGAGAGGCGATTACGATATTTATTTAAAAGCTATTGTAGGTTTACATGGTATCGATTCAAAAGTAATTTATCAATCAAAAAACTTCCCTTGTGAGCGAAAGAGATTGTCGTAGTAGAAAATTTATAGTGATTATATGATTGTTATGATGATGGTTTTTCTTCCGGAAAAAGGAAAAAAAACTCATTCACTATATTGTCAAATAAAAATATCATATTCGCAATTATATGAATTGAATTTTTACTAGCTAAATAGCCATCTAT